TCAATTGCAACGTGGTCAATCGGGACCGTGGTCAATCGGGACCGTGGTCAATTGCAACGTGGTCAAGTGAAAAGTCAAGTGAAAATGCTGGTCTGGTCGTCGATGACGACCGGGAGGACGACAAAGATGTTTCTTAATCCGAAATTTCACAAAACTGACTTTGCATTGCAATTGCATTGTAATACCTCCACTCCTGGGGCACGTAGGAGAAAAGTAAAAACACTTTTATTATGCAAATCGTACCCAAGCTATCGATTAAGCGCAGTCTCAATTTCGTCGGATCAGCCGTTGTTGAGATCCGAAAATCTGAGGGCCCGTCAACTCGTGTACTCGCGTAAACTTACACGGTCGGTCTCGCACGCGTGTACTAGCTACGCTTACACTTGGCGCGAGACACTACCGTGTCTCGTGACTACGGAAACTGCACATTCTTCGTAAATTCTCTGAATTTTTGGTAATTATGTACTATAACGGACCACCCTCCAATCTCAATGACCTTAACATATATTGTCATGGTCATGACCCTGAGTGACATTCAAGAAGATTTACCCGTCGGCCGGTGTATGTTAAAAAGTTATTAACAAAGCATGTTTAACGATTATGGTTTTTAATATTTATCTTGCCAAATATTAAAAATTTTGAAAAACGTTTTAAACAAAAGTTGTAGATCTCTTCGAAATATGCATTTTATGTTCTATTCATTTTTACTGTATGAGTGATAGTTTTCCAGAGAAATGATGGACTCTAAATTTTATATATGTCCTCCCATCTAAACATGTACTTGTAGTACATATGTATACGATTCCACATGGGTTTAGTCCGCGATGGTGAACATTTCCACAAGGAGGGGGGAGGCTCGGCTGAGATGTTGGCCTTGTGTAAGGCCAAATTCACCTTGGCCGAACTGGGCAAAGCGAATCTCCGGCGTATGAGGAGGACCCTTACGGGGGTCTCCTCATGGAGGTTCCCGCTGGCCCTGGGGCCTCCGCCAAAGCGGACGCCCTGAGGGACAGTATTGCGGAGGTAGCAATGGACCCGAGGGTGCGAGTTGTGCCCGCTCTGAGTCGCGCAGGGAACTGCGCATTCGGGGTTTGGATGACTCTGTCGCCTCCGGGGACGTCTGCATGGCCATGTGCCAGGTGGCGGGGGGGGGTCGCCGCGGACATGAGTCTAGGCAGCCTTCGTCGGGGCCCGGGTGGGACTCTAGGTATCTGGGCTCGTTGCTCGGCGCGAATGGCTCTTGGTGGAGGCCAAGACCCTGACGAAGGGGTGGGCGAGAGCAACGGTAGAACTGTCGCCTCGCCCACTCCAATGTTTTAAGTGACTGTCGAAAGGCCATTTGGAGGCGCGTTGCCCCGTGGAGATCAACCGCCGCAACCGATGTTATTGGTGCGGCGGCAGCGACCATCTCTCTGCGGGGTGTCGTGCTGCTCGACCCAGTTGTGCCTTTTGCGCAGTTTGGGCCGGGTGGCCGATCACCGACTAGGCTCCGTGAGTTGCGGGGCACCCTCGGTTCGTGCGAGGTCTCGCGTGAGGAAGCCTGCCCCCTCCCGGGCTGGTTCCCCTCCCCCTCTTCGGAGAGGGAGTCGGCTTCGGATAAGGGGGTTAAGAATCCAGGCAAGGTTCCATCGAGGGAGAAGAAGAAGGACGATGGAAAACTGGGCACGACCGGCATAAGGGGGCTTGTCACCCGACAGACCGCCCGCTCTGTCAACAAACGGAGCACAGCAGCGAGTGGGCCTACAACCAGGAAGACCGCCCGTTCCGCCAGCGTGGGAGACGGGTCGACGGACCGGAAAGGGGCGGAGGAATCTTCACCCCTCCCATCAAGGCTGATCCCTCGTGTCTCCCTGAAGAGACTGTAAGGGACTGTTCGTTCCGAGGCGGGGAGCTTAGCTCCTCCCCCGAGTCGAACGGTCTCGAGGATCCTCCTCGGCGTACAGTCGAGGCGGTGCTTAATGATCTCTTGGGCGGCGGGGAGATGGACGCTGAATAAACGTCCTCTTCTTGTAACCGTCTGGGGGATCATCCTTCATTTTTATGTTGTAAGGGGTGGGACCACGGGCATTGCACCTGGTCCGTGGTTTTTATACGCTTGGGGCCGTGACGGGGCGATTACGGGTAATAATTGCTGCGTCATCGCACTCGGCCCTGGACGTCGCGAGAGTGGGAGCTAGGTATAGACTTCCCTCCACTTAATGGGGTAGGGTGGCGGGTGTTTTTGATACACCCCCCTTGGGATGGTCAGCAGGGTTAGGGGGCGTCCTGATGAAATGATACATTGGCGGTTCCGGGTCGCCCCCTGTTCAATCCAGAGGGAGTACACCCTCAGGATGTTTTAATTGGTAAGGCGGCGCCCTTGGTGGGTAGCACCGGACAAAGGGCGCTGAGTCCAACATAGTCTCGACCTCCCCGGGCCGAGGGGAATGCATGAGCATTTCTCCTGAGTCAAAAAAAAGGTTAGGTTAGGGTTAGGTTAGGCTGTATGACTGCATTTCGCAGTTCCCAGGTGGTCCAGTTATTGCGCAGAGAAGTCCACCCCCGGTGGTTTTAGTGCGGTAGGCGTCTTCATTGCAGGGCGTGCGGGTCCCGCTAGAAGAATAGGCCCGAGGTATCACCTGCCTGTCGTAAAAGGCGACTAAAAGGTGCAGAGTTCGAGGAGTCGAGGGGACTCCTAGGCGGGCATGGGCTGGGAATCCCATGACCCGCCTGCCCCCACACACAACCGAGGGGCGCGGCGGAGGGCCGGGTGGCACCCCCGCCGCAAAGCGAAGGAGGTGGCCCTTCTCAGGGCCAGGGCCAGGTCATCGGCCCATAGGTGAGCGCGATGCCACGCGCGGCGCGGGGATGTGCGTTCGTGTCCCCCGGCAGCCCCTATTAGCGCAGAGAAGTCCACCCCCGGTGGTTTTAGTGCGGTAGGCGTCTCCATTGCACACTGGCCTTGGGTTGTCAATTGCCCAAGTGCCAGGGAGACGAGTCCCACACACCCCCCCCCCCCCGTCTCTGTCCCAGCAGGGCGGGGGGACGGTCCACGAGGATTTCCACCGGGTCAAAAAAAAAAGGCGTCTTCATTGCACACTGGCCTTGGGTTGTCAATTGCCCAAGTGCCAGGGAGACGAGTCCCACACACCACCCGTCCCTCTCTCCAGGGGGGGCGAGTGACGGTCCATGAGGATTTCCACCGGGTAAAAAAAAAAGGCTGTATGACTGCAGGCGTCCGGGTCCCGGTACCGAATAGGCTCGGGGTATCACCTGCCTGTCGTAAGAGGCGACTAAAAGGTGCAGAGCCAGAGAACCCAAATAAGGGATCTCTGGCGGTGCCCGCGGGCACGGGGACCCTGGTCCCACCACAAGTGGTCCCATGCTTGGGACCACTAGTGGGACCCCTACGGGCTGGGGGATGGAGCGCGGGGGCGCTCGCCTCCTAGAAGTTAGCCCCCCACTTTTCGAGTTTACCAATTTTGACAATTGTGCTGAATTGTGCTAGGTTTGTGCCATATTGTGCTAGAATATTAAACTCGAAATCCGAAAAATAGGGTAGAAAATTTAAAAAAACCGAATTTTGGGTCAGCCCCCCACTTTGCGATTTTTCCAATTTTTTTAATTGTGCTAGGTTGTGCTAAGTTGTGCTAGCATTGTGCCCAAGTTACTTTCAGATATTGATAATTGTAGAAGTTATAATAAAAAAATTATTTCGAGCAATTTTCGACAAAATTAACGTTTAAATGCCAACCAATGATTGAAATGTTACAAAACTGTATATCTGAGTTGTGCTAGCCCAGCACAAGTCAGCACAACTTTCAGATTCTCCGGCACAACGATATTAAGGGCACTTTACTCTTGAGCGCGGCCCTT